AGGAGTGATTTAAACAGCAAGGATGAAAATGATTAGGATTGTTTCGGAGAATGCATGCAGTGCCCATATAAAAGCAGTGCAGGTAAACTTTCAACTGATTTTTAAATGTATACTAGATAATCTTGAAAAGGAATAATCATTAAAATACCCAACCTCATGTGATGGCATTCGGGGCTAGTACCAGTTTTTATGCTAGTGGAAAACCAACACCTTGAAGTACCGTACTTTTGTTACTTTCTTGAAGTACCAAAAGTACGGTACCTGGTGCATTTGACAAGCGCCCTTTATATCAGTGTTTCCCAACCCAGACCTCTGGGAATCCCGGACAGTCCGCATTTTTGCTCCCTCCCAGCTCCCAGCCAATCAGGAACACTGAATACCTGGTACAGGTGTGCTGAGAGGAAGCAAAAACGTGGACTGTCCTGGGTTCCCCGAGGACTGGTTTGGGAAGCACTGCTTTAGTTGAGCGGTGAATTGGACAGCTTAAGAGCGCCGTACATTTTGTACATGTTACACGTCCTCTGCTATGCTCCATGCTGCTTCTGTGTACCAGCTTCTCTTGCTTCCGGATGAAAGCATGTGCAGAGTGCCTAGGCCAGTTTGAGTCCGATTGAATGTATACATGCAGGAGTAGATCAACTCCCAGTCGCATTATCTGAGTGTGTCAGTCTGGTTTTAGTCACACTAACAGAATAATTTGATTTTCATAGTGTGCATGTAAACATACTGAGTGAGTGTGACGAAAAGCTACGGTCAATGACAGTCCAAGACGCGGGGTGAGGCAAAACCCAAGGGAGGAATTTGAAAAGGTATAAAAGAGTGTGTGCTTTACACGGTTGTGGCTATTTGTGGCTTTAGGTGTAATGTTATATATACCGGGTTGTTGAAGATCCGAGGTATATCCTAGTGTTTCCTGCAAGGCCTGTGTACACAGGAGTTAAATTGCCGCAATTTGTAAATGACAAGCATAGTTGTCGTTTGATTAAAGTGTTATAACAATTTATATTGTGTTGAACCTAATTGGAAAATTTGTCATTTCCTGTGCCACTTCTCGCTTGTGATGTCGTGGAAAAAACATTGTTTGGAGACCAGACAGACACTAAGGGAATTTCTTCTGGTGAAAAATCTTCTAGGGTGTGACACCCCCCCCCCCCGCTGTGTAAACCACAATGACTTCAGGACTACCGATTACATGATGACAAGTCGTGTTGTGTGAAGAGTACAGCGATCTGATGACTTTGAATGTTGTGTTGTATGAACTTAACACTGTTCTGCCAGTTTGCTCAATAGTGACTGCCTCTGTGCCTTAGGGTGGGAGAACGTGTACGGCTTCGACATGTCCTGCATTAAGGAGGTGGCCATCAAGGAACCCCTGGTCGACGTGGTGGACCCCAAGCAGCTGGTCAGCACCGCGTGCCTCATCAAAGTGAGTGGCAGCCACACGTTTGTGGTCCTGTCGTCCACGGCGGTTGACAGCATTTTTCAGTGCTGTATGTCTGTACCTATTGTTAACATGCAGCTGTTTGAGTTAGTTTTGGTGATGAGTGAATCGAAAACGCAGATTAAAGGGTAGCCTGGGAGCATTTGGGAAAACAATACACAGCATTGTGAATGAGAATACAGCGTGTCTGAAATGTGCTGTAACTCTCCTCCCAGGAGGTGGACATCTACACAGTGAAGACGGAGGATCTGTCTTTCACGTCCCCATTCTGCCTGCAAGTCAAGAGAAATGACTACATCCATGCATTGGTCACGTACTTCAACATCGAATTCACACGCTGTCACAAGCGGACTGGCTTTTCCACTAGTGAGTCACATTTTCTCGAGTGCCTGAACAAACGCCTGAGTTTCGTTCACTCATGTTCCATCTTTCAGATGGTATGTACATGTTTGCTTTGCCTTTCTGCCCCTAATCCTTTCGAGTCTGGCTATAGGAATCAAAAGTCTCATCTTCCCCAGGTCCCGAGTCTCCGTACACACACTGGAAACAGACTGTGTTTTACCTGGATGACTATCTGACAGTCAAGACAGGAGAGGAAATATTTGGCACGATTAACATGAAGCCAAATGTCAAGAACAATGTAAGTTGCCCCTTCACACCTGTCCCTCCAGCCCTGAGGATCTGACACACATACAATTGAATTGTAAATGCCAGTCAATTCATTAAAGCACTGCGCTGTAATGGAAGCCCCACACTGGCTTTGGGGGGGGCACACTGTGCTTCAGGTTGTCTCAGTACTTGTTAGTCACATTGTACTAGGCTGGGGATCAGGGAAGGAAGTGAGGTGAGTGTTTCTATGGCCTTCAAGCCTGCTGACCCCCACATCCCCTTTACAGCGTGACCTGGACTTCACCGTGGACATTGACTTCAAGGGCCAGCTGTGTGAGGTCTCCAAGACGTCAGAGTACCGGATGCGCTAGGCGGGGTGCTGCAGGGGCCGTCGCTGTACTATGTGGCCCACAAGTGCTCCCGTGTGCCGTTTTAAGGACACACTGCGTGCGTGTGTGCATTCAGTTTGTTTGTTACATTTTATTTCGATTGACAAGTTTTAAACTTTAAGTTTGTGGCTGCGGATTAACTAGCCTACAGATGCTGCTGCTGCTGCTGGAGTAGTTGCTGTATGACATTCTGGAACTTTCAGGCTGTCCTCTCCCCTTCGTCACATGACCCTGAAGCCCACACACACGCATGTGTGCACACACAGCAGCCATCCTATAGTATGTACAAACTGACACATGTCTGCACACACCAGCCCTCTGAGTCTCATCTGTAGTATTTGTATGCGCTTCTTATTTTGGTTTAGATGCCATTGTAATGTGTTGAGAGCCTGTTGTCATGGCAGAAGCCCAGAATCCCCCGGCCTTAAATGGGGCTGCAGTCTTCTCACAGCAGATTGTTCCTGTGGATGTATCTGTCCTCTGTGCTTTTGTGAATTCCTTTGCAGTTTAAATAAGGAGGGTTTCCTTTACATATTTGGTGGTAGACTGACTGATTTGGTTCCTTCCCTGTAGGGAATATCTTTCGTCGGCTAGCTGCCCAGTCAGGATCATGGCATGCGGTGACATTTTCCTGCCTTCAGGGCTAAGCTCTTCTGTTAATATGTGGCGATGCGTATTGCAGTTTTTCTGGTGGTCCAGCAGAGGGAGCTGTAATTAAGCTTTTCTTTCTGTTGCATGTCAATATGAAAGTATCCGCTGCAGATTCCTGTGAGTTACGTTAAACAGTTAAACTGCAGTGCTTATCAGAATTTGCAGAGAATCCTCCAACATTGAAATGCACGCCTGCAGAGCAGTTGCTGAGAGTTTTGATGTGAGTAACCAAGGCTGTGAAGATCTGTGTTGTATCAGGAAAAGGAACCCAGGTAGCTGGCTTGGGCTCCAGCAGATGTCAGGTGTGCATTAGCAGGTGTTTGAGGATTGTGATGTGGAGGATTGTTCTGACTGGACCCCTCCCCCATGGATGCTTTTTTTCCACAATAAAATAAAAATAACATGCTTTGCCTGGACTTAAGTTTGGTATGCGTGCACTTGAATCTGTATGGTCTCATGGTGCATTGATGCAAGATATGGATCTGGAAGATTACTGATCCAGATTGGGAAGGCATGCCTTTTGCATGGTGTTACACTGTCATAGGGGCTGCTCCCCCCCCCCCCCTGCTTTTTACCCAATTCAGTTTTATGGCAATTAAATAAACACAATATAGCCTGTAAGGCTGCTCTCTACATTCTCATATTAGCCAGTCTCATTTATGCAGGATTACCTTTATTCTGCGTTTCTTCTAGTGTTATGGAAAACATGCTTGGACTCCGTTACGAATTAAGATCTTTAAGCATTTAAAGTTCTACACTACAAAATGATTATCAACACAATGTTGACGCAAAGCAAGATAGATTTAAATTACATTTTAACTGAATTTGTTACAATACTTGTTATGATGTCTTGGGTTGGTTTTTCTTTTATAAATAAGAATTAGCCAAAATGTTTGGGGTGAAGTTAAAACTGAGCGCAAAGTGAAGGTTAATCCATCATGAATAGCAATCACAGACCTCTGGACAATTTGTGTCTTGCCGTCGGACTGTGCTGCCTGTTCATCTCCCCAGTGGTGCAGGTGAGGCTTTGGGCCACATCCTGCCTCCTTCAGCATGTCTCTGGTCGTAGTTTTGCAGCTCTGCATCTGAGAACCTTGAGGAAGCTGTCAATTTTGTGGGAGTCCCTTCGGAAGCAGGATAACAGGAAGTGGAAGTAGATGAGCCGGGAGGTGTTGTCTTGACCGAGGTTGCCTCCTTTGAACGGCAGGGGGGTGAAGGAGTTGGAGGAACCAATCTGGAGGGAAGATCAAGCAGGATCGTCACCAGCATTGCCCATGATGGATATGCTGTCAGGGGCACCATGACTGCCCTGCTTCACCAGAGATGTGCTCACCTTGTGCGTCAGGTGCTCCAGTCCAGCGCTCAGGCTGTGCGTGTTGTCCTGCAGCTCCTTGGTTTTGCTATAGATGGCGCTGTTGGATGGGTGAGCGAGAGTCGGGGCTTCTAGTGCCAAAAGCAGCAGAGGGTCATTCCAGGAAAGGAGCAGCGAGCGAATGAGTGAGAGCAGCTCTGACTCCTGGAGGGAAGATGTTAGTTACAAGATGTGCCACACTACCACCCACTAGAACATGAACATACAGAGGTTACCGCCGCAGAAGTAGAGGCTAATGAGCCCACCGGCACGCTGAGCACTTGGTCCTTGTCGTTTGGGGTCTGGAGGGAAGAGGTGTGGCATGTGGATGGATGGGGCATCATGATCCGCCCCATGGTGGGGAAGTGAGTGTCCTGACAGAGGGGGAGGGGTATCCTTCAGTGCTACAACACAAATTACGTTATGGAGTATAAAAGCCGCAAATGTGTGCCAACAGGCGCAGTCCCTGCATCCCTGAGCCAGACGAGCAGAGCTGTGCAGTGACACGCAGCCGGTGTCAAGGAGCCATCACCACTACGCAACAGGCAGCTAAATAATGCAGCGCTCATGAAGAATGCAGGCAGGCAGGCAGTCGGGCGGCCCGGCCAGGAGCCCTCACCAGGTCGCTCGTCAGGGATGTGCTGAGCGCGTGCAGCTTGTCCGAGAGCTGGGAGGCCCGGTCCAGCAGGTCGCTGAGGCCGACAGCGTGGCAGCGCAGCGAGGAGCACAGCAGCAGCGTGACTGTGGGAGAGGAAGAGAGCACGGCGGGGCCTGGGGGTGAGGGTGACAGGGGAGAGGGAGATGGGACCAGGGGCGGCTGCACCGAGGCTAGCATGGCACACTCACCTGTCAGGTGGAGCCTTCCTACTCGGGACGGTCGGGTCATGTCTCTCTCACGCTTGTCCGTCCTGATCTTCATCCTGCTCTCACCCCGTCACCTGTCCCTGTTATATAGCAGCCCTGCCTTTCCTCCTCTTTTATTCATGGGCTCGTCTTTGTGTCCCCGCACGCGCCGACTCTACAATCTGCTAATGAGAAACATTGTGGTCAGTCTGTCCAAATGAGCTCTCAGACGTGTCGGTGATGGCCTCAAATATCAGAATTCACCCACAGAGGCAGAGCTCTAAAGCCAAAATCATTTTACTTATTCTTTGTGCAAATCTCCATATATCTAGTCCATTTTTTTAACCTTCTGGTTTTGTGGGGGAAAAAAGTGTACCTCTCCTTATCCAATCCATTTCATTTTCAGTCCAGTGTCGTCCATTGTTCTTTCATAACCGCTGGTTACGATTAAGACCGGGGGGATTTACACAAGCATCCAGCTTCACGCATATAGAGCCACACCCAGAATTCAAGCCCTCATCCCTAGAGGTGAGGAGCTGACTCGATGCCCACTGAGCGCTCTTTGTGTCTTAGTCAAAAAAACTGAAAAGTACAGAACGGGATATTTTGGGAAATGCGGACAACATACTTGATCTGACCGAAGAGGAGTTTTTCCTATTTAACGGCTTTAAAGTCAGTACATCACCCGGAAGTTTTAAACATTATGCATTGAAGACGAAATCTACTGCTATTCCCTGGGGCATTAGCGGAACGTGATTGTGTGACACTTAATGATAATTTAATTAAGGGAGTTGTGTTTTTAATGAATTTTACCTGAACATAATAAGGAGATGCTTTGTTATTTTGTTCCTTCGTGATCACCTGTCGGTCTCGGTTCCGTAGCCGGGTCCAGCGTGTCCCAGGACATTAACAAGCCGTGTAACCTATATGCGGCGTGACCGGGACACATCGGGGAAAACTACACCTCCCATGTTTAGGTTGCTGTGGGAGAGCCGTTCTGAGCTGTAGTTCTGTACGGGGTCTTTAATTCGGGTATATAAAGACCCCCGTACCGGCCCGCGGCCAGTAAGGAGGCGTCCCGATAAGTAAGATCCGTGCGCCGCCCCCGCCCCTCATCTGCGGCATGTGTCTGACCTGCATGCAGGAAAAACGCTCATTTACTGGGAAAGGAAGTTTGATATAGCGGTCACTTCGTTAACTGCTTAAGTGGAAGGTAGATGGAAATGTAAAACATGATTAATGGGGTTTAAAAGCTCACACGTCTGTGTTAATTAATCATGTTGAATTGTGCGGTATGTTACCGATGGAGTTAAATGTTGTTCTTGAAATCTAATGTATAATCTTCAATCGTAAACTATACATTTTTTTTTGTTTTTGAGGGTCGAATACATAACGTTCATTTCCGAGTATGTAAACTGAACTTTAACTGTCATATGGAAAAGTTACTGAAATACAGACTGCCTTTCGTGTAGATTGTGAATGCTTTTTATAGAGTGGCGGTTTTGTCAGACTTGTCTTTCGCGGGCTACAAATATGCACTGAAGTCACTGTACCATGCCAATACTGTTGCTGGAGTTGCAAATTATCGAAAAGATATTCCGTAATTTGCTTTTCGCAATTTCAAGACGGGTTAAAAACAAATATGCCTATTGTTCCGTGATAACTGAAGATGTATATCCCTACTATGTATAGTCTATTATAAAAGTCTCCCTATTATAAAATAATAAAATAACCACGCGAAGAAATAATATTCTAAAACGACAGTTTCAGATTGTGAGAGCAGCATCATTTTTTTTTCATGGGTTTACATTGAAATTCTCTGTATTCTTCCTTCACAAACCTGTACTCATTAAGCGGCTGAAAGATGGGTGGATATATTACAGTACGTCCTGGTTGTTGTACCTACATCCCACACAGTTACATTTTAAATGTTGGCTTCAAAAAAAAAAAAAAAATCCTGAAAACCTATGTAGGCTTACTCCATTTTCCTTTATAAGAGAATGCGGAGTACAAAGTGACTTCATCCCATTTGATTTTATCTGGTCAGAAGTCATTCAGCATGGTCTGTATAGGACGGGAGGGCAACGCTGTCATGCAGTGACCGCATACAACCAGTGGATGGCATTATCCCGCAGTTGGCACTCTTGTTTCTCAAGACTAGGTGCTTTTTCTGGTTAGGTGTCAGGCTTGAAGCCCGATACCCCCTGTGCGCATGTATCATACTTGCATGAACTATAATGTACACACACTTCTCTCAGAGAAATTTCACTCCACTGTTGCCTAAATTCAGCCCCTCATTCCCTCGTCTCTATCTAACACTGTATGACCAGTTGCATTGCCTCTGCTCTGAGGACAGCCCCCGCCCCTCACCCTGCTCTGACCCCCTACACTGTCACTGGCTTACACATGTTCACAGGCAAAGAGAGCAGATCAGAGTGAAGATGCCCGACCCCGGGAGCTCAGGCAGCGCAGGCAGCACCGACGCCCCAGTCCCTGCTGCGTGTCACACTATCAAGGCAGACCTGGACAAATGGTGAGTGCAGACCTTCACTCCATATGCACAGATGTAGCACCTCACGGTGGCTGCTTGGCCTAAAGCACTGGCTTAGTGCCTTAGCAGGTCCTCGTAGATAGCTTGATGGATGGTCCCTGTAGGTCACTCGACCTACCATGAGACATACCTGCCGAACGAGATATTTCAGAAATCTAACAATCTGCATCTTCGCTTTGTAAGGGCACGGCGTGCCCCAAACACACACACACTTCGTGTTACTGGAGGTAATGTTAACCATAAACGTAAACTGCGCCAGACTGCCTGTGAGGAACTGATAAACAGTCATGTGACCTGACAGGTGGGAGGGGCATCAAAGCTGCAGTATATCGATAAGTGTTTGCAGGCAAGAAGCAGGACAACCGTTGGGTGGTGAACGCGGGGGTGGGGGGCTCAGTCCGCTTGAGCAGCACATGTAAACAAATAAGAGGGAAGATGCCTATCAGAGACTGACCTAGTGTGACTTCCTGAATGAAGCTGTATGCACTGCAGAGACACTGCAGAAGGCCCAGCTCGGCACACAGCCTGCGCTATTTATAGCGAGTAAACAGCCATAAATACAGAAACTACAGGCATTCAGGAACGTGACTTTAGCCAGATCCTGTTACGTGTTGCCCCCTCATGGAGACTGCAGCCCTTACTCCACCCCCACAATCTTCCTCTGTATGGATCTGAATTCATCTTGTTCTGGGAAAGAATCTCCCATAAGCAGCTCGGGGCTTCTCTCCGAGGGGGTGCAAGGTGTCTTTTTTAGAGGCAGGTGGACCGATAATGAATATATTTTAATTAAATTATTATTACACAAGATTAAACTAACGCAAGCCACATTTTCAAATATAACTTTACATTATAGTTTAATTTTATCGAATGTTCAAATGGTATCTCAGTATGGATGCTCCTGCACCTGCTACACCCCAGTAAAATGGCCCATGGATTCTCCTGCCCTTCAGGAAACCCCAGCGTCTAAGCAGCTCTCTCCAGTTGGGTGGTGCCTTGGACACACTTTGCACAAGAGCTGCTTGTGCGCTGAATGTATGAAATGTAGATGCTCTTTATGTTAGATGTGACTCAGGAGGCATTTCAATGCACTTAGATTTGGCTGAAAAGGCATCTCGATTGTGCCTGTGTGGAACACACTCTAGGGGGGAGGCTATCCCCCTTAGCTACCACACCATCCCATTGCCACCGACTCCCCCCCCCAGCTGGTTTTCGGCTGTTACTGCTCCCTTGGTCTGAGTTCATCCTCAGGTTACTCCCTCTGCCCCTCCCCCCAGTGTAAAAGAGAAGGGCACTGAAGGCTGCAAGGATCTGCTAGAAGCCTTCCACAGCTGCATGAAGAGCACCACCCAGGCACCCTGAGGGCGGGGGATGGCGCTGCCCGGCAGGAGACAAGCGACCAGCTCCACGCAGGCAATCAGTGTGCAGTCCCTGAATTATTGTGTTTCTGTGTGTTTGGGGGCCTGTCCACAGGAATGACAAGCCCAACTATTATGTTGAAGGTACAACCTGAATACCCAAGGGGGGGGGGGTTACGTTCTCCACTGCATTTCTCAGGATTAGAGTTCAGCATCAGCCTGCATGTGACTGTTTCTGCTGTCCCCCTTCCAGACCCACTGCACTCAGTCTTCCACTTTCCCAGCATTCCATTCTCTGTTCCATGGGACTGAACCATCTTGAAACTTCAGTGAGGGGGCACAGACAGCATATGTTATCTGTACACCACTGAGGTCCAGTTCAGTACAGGGATCATTCATGTGGATGGTTCACCTGACCATGGATAAGTGGAATAAACCTTATACCAGAGTAATGGTTTCTGTTTGTGTTATTTCATTTTGCCAGTGAAGGATTTGTGGCAAGTGCATGATATGCAGGAGAACTCAAAGCCTTTCCCATGATAATATATTTAAAGGGATCGGTTTACATACACATGTAGGCACAGGCCTGGGCAGTGTGATGCACTGTGCCATGTTTTTGGAAATTCGGGCCTCATGTATCATGCAGGAATATGCGTGTGTTGAGTTCATCCTCCCCCAGCAGTGCAAAGGTCAGACATCACCAGTTGCTAAAGACACAGCATACATGTGGAGCCCCATAGCCATCTGACCTTATGGCCAGGGGTGTCGGTTTGCTGCGGGGTGGAATTCTGCTGAAGAGGACGGCGATATTTTAGTTTGTCATACAAGTAACAGGGTGCAAGGGGAGAGGGGCGTCACCTAGGAGACACGTGGAACTTGAGCAGTACTGAAAGGCAAAGCACAGGGGTCTTATAAAAGACTATTGACCCAACAGAAACTGTCAAATCTGATGGTTTAAACTCCGGAAAAAAATATGTTTACATTTTGGAATTGCATGCAAATGTAATGGTTATACAAGCCAATCTAAATCAGTAGTGCAGTTTTCACAGTAAGGTGTAGAAACAGATAAGAGGGCAGATTAGATAGAGGTCTACAATCAATCACGTACAGAATAAATTACTGATCTTTTGCTATGCAGTCATAGCTGCTCCTCGGCACCGACGCCGTGCTGCCACCTTGTGTGGAAGCGCAGTACAGCAGGGAAAGCGCGCCCGGTAGCCGGGCAGATAACAGCCCGCACCACACTCCCTGGCTAAATGAAAAAGCATTCACCCAGTCACCAGGGAGATATTCTTTTTAAAATAATATATAGTTTCTGCCATCAGCTTTAGAGTAAACTAATCATGCGACAGCAGCACAGACATACAACAAATATGCGCAATAAGTCTGTTTTATGGACAAAAGCATTTCAGGATCTAGTTCGGGAGGGCGGCAACATGCCGCTTTTACACAAGTGTGTGCAGCTTTGCGGTCCCTTTGGACCATTAGGGAAATAATTTTTAACATATACAATAGCTACGGCTCAGGCTCCGCCCCGAGGTGTGCGAGATGGGAAAAATGAAAGCAACAAGACGGAAAAAGCTTGCAATATTACGAAATATCACAAGTTACCAAGCGACGTGAAGGGGAACAAGGTGTAATGGGGGGGGGGGAGGAAGGCGTGTTGGGATGAAAGGAAAAAGGGAGGAGGCTGGGGGAAGGAGGGAGAGGGACCCGGATGCTGATGCTGCTTGTGTCGGACGAGGAGGAGGAAGAGAGGAGATACAAAATAACAGTTTACGTGAAGAGATATCGGGAAGCAGGGGAGCGGCACACGGCACCTTCCGGAGCATCAGCGGCTTTAGGAGGGCACCCGGGAGAGGAGCGCATCGGGGAGGACGGAGAGATAAAACGCTGTGACATGGACACGCCGCTGGGAGGGGACGCCCGCTTCACCCGCGACATTAAAGCCACGAAACGCAGAGCAGATCCAGCGGCCGGTGTCGGAGAGGCACGATTAGGCAGCGAAGCGCCGGGAGCGGAGCCGTACGGGCACGGCGAGGGCGGTGCGCTTTAAAGCCCTCCATCCGCCTCTAAGCTGCGGGTCTGCAAGACACGACAACCGGCATCCCATACAATATATACATACATAACACAAGACCTGTATGTATATGATAGTAGGGATTGCCTGCACGCATTTTGATGAAGATTGCAATGAAAAGGTCGCGATAGTCGGATAGACAGCGGGGCAGGGAAGAGGGGGTGCAGCGAGACGGGCTGGTGTGCCCTCCTCTCTATATAACACCAGCGGAGCACTTATACCGTTTATGCGTGTGATCAACCCGCTGACTCCACGCTGAAATATTTAACCCATTACTCTTTGTATTAATATTTATTGCATTAACGAATCATACTGCTTTTGGTGATACTTCTCTGTGGTTAATTTAGTATTTCTGGTCCTATTTAAACAACCCTGTCTGTTTCATTAGCATCTCTCATACTCATTGTATCCTTTTCTCTAATAATTTCCCTTCGGTTACCCGAAATTGATGGATTTTGACATGGGACATTACCCGAGGTCGCTCATTTAAAATAAATGCGAATAATCGCAGAGTAACGTGGCTTCGTTGGAGCTGGCGTATAGGCCACAGATGACTGTCCGTTGGCCCTGTCCGTGTTCCCGTCCGTGTCCCTCCCCGTACTCCTGTAATGCTCTCACAGCCTGACACACACACCGCTCCCCGGACGTATGTAGCTAATCATCAGCAACGCAGTGGCATTTGATTAAACACGTCGCACCATGTCCGCCAAGGAGCTGTCGGTGACTCTGTCGGCCCAGTACGTCGGGCCTTACCGCCTGGAGAAAACGCTGGGCAAAGGACAGACAGGTGAGAGAGCGGCGTGCTCCCGGTAACCAGCTGCGTCTGTAATTGCAGAGTCGCATTTCTTTATTTACTGATGTGTGTTTAATTGTCGTGATGCGCTGGAGAGCAACAGTATGCTGGAAGCATCCTAGACATTTCACACTTAACATCGATAACAGCGAATTTTCTAAATGATAATTATAAAAATGTTTGACCGTGCCATTTGCATATTTCAAATTATGGTTTAATAGTGTACAGATGGTATTATTTTTATACGGGGATTTTTTTTTTTCTGGGGCTATTTTAAATGGGCTACATAAAATCTGGTACTGTGGTCTCACTGTCACAGTGGGGTATGAATGTGATCAGGCACACTAATGCACTACTGGTAATAATCTGACCCGGTGCGTGTCCCTGTATTTCTGAAGGGGGCACTCTCCTGTGTAGCACTGACGCTGGCTGTCGCACATACCCACACATTTCAGGGCTGTCTGTCCCGTTCCCTGATGTTGTGTTTCAGGCCTGGTGAAGCTGGGAATTCACTGCATCACAGGACAGAAGGTGGCCATTAAGATTGTGAACAGGGAGAAGCTGTCCGAGTCAGTGCTGATGAAGGTGGGCTCTTATCTGCACTGAGGCTGTCTGTGTCTGTATGGCACTCTGGCCACTGAAATGTTCAGATTCACTCCAATGCTGCTTGCATCAGCTTTTCTGTGTCGCTATTATCCCGGTGCTGCCCCTTCTCTAACCTGCAAGCCTGAAACAGACAAACAGATTCCCAGTGACTTTAATACTACATGCATGCGACAGTATTGATACCAGCGCTGTGAGACAATCTCTTTCTTCCCTTTATCTTCCTATTGCTGTGTCCTCTCTAGGTGGAGAGGGAGATCGCAATTCTAAAGCTGATAGAGCATCCGCACGTGCTGAAACTGCATGACGTCTATGAGAATAACAAATACCTGTAAGCACTGATAGATACAAACACCTGTAGTCACTGGGAGTAATACATGCTTGTAAACAATGAAAGATACAAATCCCACCCATCCATTCATCATCCATCTTCTAAGCACCTGTGAACAGACAGAATAAGAGATCTGTATAAAAAATGAGTGTTATATACCTACAAACACTGACAATAAGAGATACCTATAAACACTGAGAGTAATAAACACTCACAAACACTGACAATAAGACACCTGCAACCCCTGAAAATAATGGATAAATATAGATATTGAGAGCAATAGACACCTGCAATCATAGACAATAACAGATCCCTATAAACACCTGCAAACACTGACACATAACTATGAACACCTGTGAACACTGAGTAACAGATACCTATAACACTGAGAGTAATAAACACCCATAAACAATGACAATAATAGACACCTGGAAACACTGAAAATAATAGATAACAATAAACACTGAGAGTAATAAACACCTGCAACTAAGAGTGATGCATGTCATGTGTGTTGTCATGTGTGTTGTCATGTGATGCCTTCCCCACATGTAAGAGCCTCTGCCTGTCCCTGTCCTTCAGGTACCTTGTGCTGGAACACGTGTCTGGAGGAGAGCTCTTCGATTACTTGGTGAAGAAGGGTCGACTCACGCCCAAAGAGGCTCGCAAATTCTTCCGCCAGATCATTTCGGCACTGGACTTCTGCCATAACCATTCTATCTGGTAGGACCCGCTCTTGCCTGCTCTGCTCACTCTTCATGTGTTATGTGGCTTTCAGTAGGCAGGCTCTATCAGAACATGTGTCACGTGTTCACAGATGTGCACTTAAAATCTGCTTTTAGTCACCTGGATGATGTAGGAGTGAGGTCCAATCTGCTAGAAAACTGTAGTCTCTTGTAACTCCTGGGAAGCAGGGAAGTAGGTCCTGCACCTCTTATGGAGGATTCTGTCTCCTTTCCACTGGGAAGTTTTGTTAGACCCAATGAAGATTCACAGTTACATTCATTCACAGTTACACTGGTAAATATTGAATGGCTCTACCCCTTGATGGAGGCATGATTCTGACCTCCTGGTGGAGGCGTGACATCCGCCCCCCCCTCCCGTCAGTGGAGGTGTGACTCTGCCCCCTGGTGGAGGCATAACCTTTGCTGTTTCCCCCCCAGTCACAGGGACCTGAAGCCAGAGAACCTCCTGCTTGATGAAAAAAACAACATTCGCATTGCAGACTTTGGCATGGCATCTCTGCAGGTGGGGGACAGTCTGTTAGAGACCAGTTGTGGGTGAGTACTGAATCCCGGCTTTGAGTACTGAGTACGGGCTCTGAGTACTGGCTGCCATTGTCAGTTTGCCACTGTGAGTGAAGCTCTTCATTTGTGCTCTTGCTGTTACAGATCTCCTCACTATGCATGTCCGGAGGTCATCAGGGTAAGACTGAGTTTACATGTTCAGCTGTAAGAGCCGAATATTACTGTGGATTTGGGTCCCGAGGACTGACAGCTCCATCTCTTTGTGGAGGAGCCGTGCAGGCCTTGGATGCTGTGTTTGTGTGTCATAGCACCCTCTTGTGTGGTAGGGGGAGAAGTACGATGGCAGGAAGGCTGATGTTTGGAGCTGTGGGGTGATCCTGTTTGCCTTGCTTGTGGTAAGAGTCTCTCATACTCACTCACTCACTCACTCAGTTCAACTTTGTGTCCCTCTATCTGCCTCGTTTTCCTTAATTTCTCTCTCTCGGTCTCTCTTCATTTCTATCTGCCTCACTCTCTTCTCTTGCCTCACCCCCTTCTTATTTCTGTTTTGTTCTCTCATACTCCCCCTCTCCCTCCTCACCCTCTAGGGCGCGCTGCCATTTGACCACGACAACCTGCGTCAGCTCCTGGAGAAGGTGAAGAGTGGGCTGTTCCACATGCCCCATTTTATTCCCCCTGACTGTCAGGCGCTGCTCAAAGGCATGATAGAGGTCAACGCAGAGAAGCGGCTCACGGTGTGTGACTCACACTAACACACACTATTACTCACTAACGCTTTGACATACTAAAACTCACTATCACACCGACTCACACTGATTCACACTGACACATGCCAATACTCAGACATGCTCTGAATCACACTGGCACACACCAATACTCACTAACGCTCTGACTGACACGGGCATGCTAAAACTCACTAACACACTGACACACACTAATATTTGCCATTGCTCTGACTCATACTGTATTAGTCACCAATGCTTTGACTCACATTGACATATACTAATTCTCACTAATGCTCTGACTCGCACTGGCACATACTAATATGCAGTAACGTTTGACTCAAAATGATGCACACATGAATTATCTGTGTTTCTGTCCTTTTTTATCTACAGTTAGAAGCAATACAGAAACACGCCTGGTACCTGTAAGTAGACCCTGGACATCTCTAAAGAATCCAAATGAAGGTCCAAACTCACTTTAATGTAATATACTAGATTAACTACAAGGAGTGCATTCAGCACTGTTAATTACTGAGGTAATTAGCAAAGAATATACAACGATGGAAATTAATTAACTGAAATGTTGCCAGCGTGAGCAAACCTGGTGTGATGTGTCTGCCTGTCCACCAGGGGGGGCCGTAATGAGCCATGCCCCGAGCAGCCGCCCCCCAGGCGCGTGTGTATACGGCGCATCACGTCACTGACGGAGCTGGACCCCGACGTGCTGGAGAGCATGCACTCCCTGGGCTGCTTCCGTGACCGCGTCAAGCTGGCCCGCGACCTGCAGTGTGATGAGTGAGTCTGGGGAGGTCCGGGGGAGATCAGTCTGTGCTGGACCTGTGTTGTAGAATATCTCTCTCACTGTGTCACTCCTTCCTCTTTTTCTTCCCCCCTCTCCCTCTCCTTCTTTCTCTCTCAGAGATAACCAGGAGAAAATGATCTACTACCTCCTACTGGACCGTAAGGAGAGGTATCCCAGCTGTGAGGATGAGGACCTCCCCCCGAGGAATGACATAGGTGAGGGAGTACCAGCCTCCAGCAGGACTTTTGTGTCTGTGTGCCGTGCCTTACGCCCCCCGGGCCCCGCAGATCCCCCCCGGAAGCGAGTGGACTCACCCATGCTGTCCCGGCATGGTCGCTGCTGGCCTGAGAGGAAGAGCCTGGAGGTGCTAAGCGTAACGGAGCAGGGCAGCCCCACAGCGCCGCGCCGGGCACTCGACTCCGCCGCGCACAGCCAGAGGTGAGTCTGGGGGCGGGCAAGGGTCACAGCAGGGCCGCACCCCTAACACTGAACTGTCTGCTCTCCCTCTGCAACCGCAGGTCTCGCTCTGTCAGCGGCGCCTCCACTGGCCTGTCCTGCAGCCCCCTCAGCAGCCCGCGGGTGAGCAGCTCTCCCGTCCCGCTGCTCTCTTACACTTGACACCCCAGACAGACACGCGGGTGTAATTAACTCCACATATAGTGACATCATCAGCTAACATGGGGAATCCGCACTGAGATTAAACATCGTTAGCTTTTCTGTAGCACCAAACTCAGACATGAGCAGGACCGGACGTAGACCACGGCGGCCGCAGAGCCCCGCCTCTAGCTGTCCCGGTTCCCGTCCTGCCTCCAGGACTTAACCACGCAAGGGCCAGACCTTCGCATCCTTGTGTGTTCCTGTTTTCATGCCGATCACCGCCCGTGCCAACCCAGTGGATGTTTTGGACGTTCACTGCCTGTCGTTGACATGCTGCAGGAGCACAGTTCAGACAGGGGCAGTTGTGGGAGGGGCCGGGAAGCCAGTGCGCCCCTGACAACATACATGGCCCCCCTAAATGCATATACTACTTAGGTCTGAAATAAATGTATTATTATTATTGTTTACATTAATATCAGTGGGCTAAAAAACAGGAGAAACACAAACATAAGCACATTTTCTTGACGGACTCTTAATGCGGGAACGCCGGATGGTCAAGTCGCTTCAGTTGGTGAAAAGCAAAGTTAATGACAGAAAAAAATCAAGCTTGTGGAAGCAAGAAATCAGAGTGAGTTATGTATTTGTAAAAACTATGAAATGTAACTGCGAAGCAGTGCATAAATAATTTACCGGATTTCAAAACTGTCTTTTGCTTCTTAATTCTGGCAATCTAATGTAAGTAATACTTGGAGGACATTACGGTCAAATGCACCTGCCCCCCCCCCAGCTGCTCTTTTCGC